AGGAGGAGCAAGAAAAGAAGAAAAGAGAGGAGGAGAAGAAGAAGAAGAAGAAGAGGAAGAAAAAAAAGAATGGGTAGAAGAAAAAGAAGAGGCGGCTGTGGTGGTGGTTAGGGATGGGGTGGGTTTGGAATGGGCTGTGAAGAAGAGAAGGGGAGATGAAGAAGGAGAAGGTCCAAGGGTAATTTGGTAAAAGAATCATACGCCCCTATGTCGTCACTAACGACATCCATCTAATGGTGGGAATCTGGAATTTATAAAATCAGGGGTACCAACCGAGGATTTCACTGAACCTTGGGTGGGAACATGTTATTTACTCTTAATGAATTAATAATTATGGAGGCACTTGACTGACACGTGCTCAAATTTCAATTGAAACACAATGTTTATAAAGTCAAGTTTTTTGCCCGTTTATTGTTTGTTCTATATCGTGGTATTTCAATTTACAAAGTTTGTTAGGGCGAAATCATTTTTTAATTATATATAGTTTTACATTATGATTTTATTGTGCTGTGTCATTTTTTAGTCAAAATGTTTAACGTTTTAAAATGATGTTTTATAGATTGTTTTAAATAATTTGTCATTTCTTTTAAGTATAGTTCAACCATAATTGGAAGGGTTTATAGTTATCCAAATTTAGTATATAATTTATCAAATTAAAGTTCTATCTGTCTAGTTTCTAATGATTCAAATCATTCATCAATTGAATTTTGATTAAACAAGTTATAACTAATTTATTACTGTCTGTTCAGTGAAACCGAGAATCAGGAAAAATTGAATTATGTGTGATGATAAAATGAATGGTTCAATAATGGGTCTATAGTTATCCAAATTTATTGTATAATATATCAAATTAAAGCAATGTCTATCTTGTTTCCAAATATTCAAACTGGTCATCAATTATAATTTTATTGAGCAAGTTATGACAAATTTACTATTGATTGTTAAGTGAAAACAGAGAAACAGAAGAAACCGAAATGTATATGATAATAACATGAATGGTTCGACAGCAGGTCTACAGTTATCCAAATTTAGTGTATAATATATCAAATTAAAGACCATTCTATCTTGTTTCCACGTATTCAAACCTCTCATCAATTAGATTTTTTTTTTATTCAGCAAGTTATGACCACTTTACTACTGACTGTTTAGTGGAAACTGAGAAACAGGGAAAACTGAAATGCGTGTGATGATAAAATGAATGATTCGACAACGAGTCTACAGTTATCCAAATTTAGTGTATAATATGTCAAATTAAAGACTTGTTTGTCTAGTTTTCAAAGCTCTCGTCAATTCAGTTTTTTTTTTTTTTAGCAAATTATGACTAATTTACTATTGACTGTTCAGGAGAAATAAGAGAAACTGAAATGTGTGTCATGATAAAAATTAAACATTGTTGAGCATATTTTTTGAACAGGCGAAAGTAATTTAAATGGTGGATTTTTTTAAAGACAATAACAATGTTCAGAATATTACAATGGTTTTGAATAATACAAATCAATCGGCATATTACTATGGTTTGACAAATTTTTGAATAGGCAATAGTAATTTAAATAAGCATATTATTTCAATTAAACATTGTTAAGCATATTTTTTACATTGGCAAAAGTAATTTAAATGATGGATTTTTTAAAGATAATAACAATGATTCCAATTTTAAGATAATAATAATGCTTCGACATATTACAAATGGTTTACTAAACTTACATGATTCGGCATAAAACATTATCTAATATTTGTGAAACAAATAAAATTGGTATATTCAGCAACAACTTCTTTTCACGATATATGTATGTAACATAAAAAAATATCAACAAAAAGAGAGAACAAATACAATTAAAGGTACATATCAATATTTTATTTTCTTTTTTTATCACTAAAATTGAATTCATTTTCATGGCACAAATCCTCGCTTGTTCATCTTGAAATGGTCGAATGATACCAATCCTCGCAGGTTATAATCACTTAATTTTCTGAAACAGATGAAAATGAAGGTGGAGACAATAGTTAAAGGACAATTCCACTGAAAAATGAAAAAAAATTCTAAACTAAACAAAGAAATACAATTAAATATTATGCAACAACATCACAAAACTAAAAAAAAAAAAAAAAAAAAAAAAAAAAAAAAAAAAAAAAAAAAAAAAAAAAAACCAACTACAATTGAATATCAAACATCAATTGATATTTGTGAAACAAATGAAAATCACTCTCCCTCGTTGAAAGCATCAGATAAAACAAATATATCAATATTTGTTTTCTCTTTTATCACTGAAATTGAATTCGTTTTATAGCACAAATCCTCGTCTGTTCATCCTGAAATGATCCAATGATATCAATCCTTGCAGGTCATCATCAGTTAATAGATGAAAAAGAAAATGGAAAAGATGGAAAATTGATGATGTGGCTATGCCCTTCTTTGTATTTCTCTTATAAGTATATTATACTCAAAAGGCAGGGTAATGTTATTTGCAGAAAAATCACCTCATCAATTGGCCGTAAAAATTTTGTTTCTTGAGCCGTAATATGAAAAAGATTAATTAGTATACCAAAAAATTTCAAATGTATATAATGCTTGTTAGGGTAATTTTCAATCATATAAAGATTTTTAATTTTAAAAACATTAAATTTGGGATTTACGAAGAGTTTAGGTGGGACTTGAATAACACCACTGCCGCCTCAATCCAATATACTTCTAATTTAAATTACTTAAAAATAAAAACAAAAAGACAAACAATACAACAAATATTTATCTAAAATATTTACGCATCAGAGTTACATAATATTAAAATATCAACCCATCAACACCCAACTTTAGGTAGATAAAACAGTTCATATTTGTTGAAATGTACACACTTTTTGCTAATTGACGAAGAAAAGACAATCAAGAAGAAAGACAAGTAAGAAGAAAAGGCAAACAAGAAAATAAAAAAGAATTTAAGTTTTAAGCATATTTCTAGTTTAGGAATTTGTAATTGAGAATATTTTTTTTTTTCCTTTTCTATTGTAAGATAAATAAGGGAAATAGAATTGGTTTAGGAGAATGAAGTTAAATATGGGAGTTTTATTAGGAATATGAACATGAATCCTATTAGAAGTTGGATGTCTCATATACCACTTATAAATAGAAGGGTTAAAATCAATTCAAGGTTATGAGAGAGAATAAGAGAAAAAGAGAACGTGAGGATACAAACGGTTTTGATGTAAGGATACCATGGTATTGGGCAGGGGCGGATCCAGCCACTTTTTGGGTGGGCCATGAATTTTTTTTTTTAAATATTAATATGTATAACTTATATATTTTGGCCCACCCTAACAAAAATATTAATGGACAAAAATATTAATGTATAATTAATTTTTATTTTGGCAAACCTTAACAGAAATTTCTGGATCCGCTACTGGTATTAGGTAAATATCACAGGATATTAAACATCATAGGAACATGATGTTCGCTTATATAAATGTACGTGTGATGAACACTTGTATCGTACTCATAGAATTATAGTAGATTTCTCTCATTCATAGATGTAGGCAAGTTATGCCGAACCACGTAAAATATCGTGTGCTTTTGTGTGTTGTTATTGCTGTTCTTTATTTTATTTTTTTACTCCTCTGGTTTTTAACATGGTATCAGAGCAGACTCTAATTTTTAACGTGGTATCAAAGTTTATTTTCTTAAGGACCTACGGGAGAAGGGGCCTATATTAGATGAAGCGAAAATTGCAAGGTGATGGTCTGCAAGAATGTCGACGACAGGATCGACGAGAGAAAGCCATCGAGCCACTCCAACAAAGGGTGGACGCAGATGAGAACACTCCAACAAAGGGTGGAGGAAGAAGAGATGACTCCAACAAAAGGTAGAGGAAGAAAAATAGAAGTAAGGAGGAGTAAGAAGAACAAGCTTTGAAGTTCAATACCAAAAAAGTTCAAGCAAGAGTGTTGGAACGTCAACAGTTTTTGGTAATTGATGAAAAAAAGGCAAGCAAGAAGAAAATAAATTTAAGTTTTAGGCAAATTTCTAGTTTAGGAATTTGTAATTGAGAATAATTGTTTTTTTTTTTTTTTTTCCTATTATAAGATAAATAAAGGAAGTAGAATAGGTTTAGGAGAATAACGTTAAATATGAGAGTTCTATTAGGAATAGAAATATGAATCTCATTAAAAGTTGATGTCCTATATACCATCTATAAATAGGGGGGTTAGAGCTAATTCAATGTTATGAGAGAGGGAATAAGAGAAAGAGAGAATGTGAGGATATAAAGGGTTTTGATGTAAAGGTACCATGGGTATTGGGTGTTAAGTAAATACCATAAGGTATTAAACGCCATAGGAACAAGATGTCGACATAAAGGTACTAGGTTGATGGTGTGATAAACACTTATATTGTACTTATAGAATTATAGTGGATCTCTCTCATACGTGGATGTAGATAAATTATGTCGAATCATGTAAGATATCTTATGTCTTTGTGTGTTGTTGTTTATTTATTTTTTACTCTTCTAGTTTTTATCATGGTATCCGAGCCTATTTTGATTTTTAACAATATTCACAAGATCAGAACAAGCTAGGCAAAAAGATTGTTACTTATTTAATTGGGAAGAAGAAGTCATTGACCGTAGATCCTCCATCAGCACATATGACACCTTCTTCGGTTCCCCATTCCGTCCCATCAGAGTACTGCAATCCATTAAGGAACATCCAACAATATATTTCAAAACCTTCTACTTTTATAACCATATATATATATATATATATTATTAAATATAAAAGTAATTCTTTCTAGGGGAGTTCTTATAAACCAAGGTTTTAGGTGGGCTCCCTCCTCTCTTGAGCATAGTTTTTTTTAGAGTGAGTTCTACCAAACCACTTTATCAGTTACAAATTCATGAGTTGTCAAACAATTTAATCTCCTAAAATGCATTAGCTTCCATCTCTTGAGAATTAAAGAAATTTAGTTTCAAATTCTTTGTTTCACAGAATAACCCACCAAGTAGCCAATAACCCCATGCATAAAGAGTAATTTCAATTGTTATCTTCCCCGATATTACAAGGTTTTATTTAATCGAATATCATCAGAAGATGTACAATTCAGCACACCAAGCAACTTGGTGTGAATAGGCCTTTTAGGTGTTTCTTGTAAGTTATGCTCTGGGGAAGAAGAAGCCATTGACTGTAAATCCTCCATCCACACAAATAGTCTGTCCACTTATGTACGAGGCTGCAGGTAGGCTAAGGAACGCCACCAAAGATGACACCTCCTTTGGCTCCCCGATTCGTCCCATTGGAGTTCGCCATTTTACTTCCTCCAATAATTTCTCATCATTCAGAAGCTGCAAGAAGAATAAATTTCAAAACCATCTAGTCCTGTTCAAACAATTAACGATGATGTTCATAAGCATACAAAGTTCTTGCTCTTACAGGTTCAGCTAGGGGAGTTCTGATAAACCAAGGCGCCACAGAATTGGTCCTTATATTGTCTTTTGCCCATTCACAAGCCAAATTTTTGGCAAGCTGATTCATGGCTCCTGCAGATAATCAGTATAAATTATTATATCCATTTATAGAAGCTAGCAGTATGAATAACCAAATTATTGACATACCTTTTGTAGCAGCATATATGGATCCGACACTTACTGATACTACACCACAAACCGAAGACATGAAAATAATACTTGCTGATCCTGAAGCTTTCAGAAGAGGATGTGCAAGTTGAGACAAGTGGTAAGCGGACTCCAAATTGGTGGTCATGAGAAAAGAAAAGTCTTCAGCCTTGTACTCCTCAGTGGGTTTGGTCCTATTTGTCCCTGCATTGTTTATCTACAGAGGCACAATTAATTCAATAACTTTAAAATAATTTTGAGACTTTGAGTAAAACAAAATGGATGGTGATATACATACAAGGATGTTGAGTTTGCCGTAAAACAGAGAGGAGACTTGCTTCATTAACTTCTCCCGTTCAGGTCGAGATGATACATCACAGACTGAACCACTGACTTTGAAACCTTTCTTTTCCCATTCACTTAAGCATTCCTTAAGCTCTGCTTCATTCCTGGAGCATGTATGAACGATGGCACCTAGCTCTGCAAATTCCTCCACAACAGCATGCCTGATGACAATAGAAACAGAATGATCATTACCATGAATCAGATTATTTTCACTTGGAGTCTAAATTAACCCAAAACAGATTATGCTTTTGAGCATATAATTCTGTAAAGTTGGATGGTTGTGCACTCATCATGTTTTGATTAACATGATTACTCTATTTTTGCATGCATTAGCCTCGAGATCTGAAGTATAAATTAACGGCTAACTTTCTGCAGGGGCGCTATCGCATTTTTTAACTGTCATACCCATGTTCTTTTGAGAAACATGATGTCAACTGACTACCTATAATAACAAACCTTAATGAAAGTTCAACAACATAGAATAAGAGGCAAAGAGAAGAAAATTAAAAGAGACAAGGGAGTATATATATAAGGACCCGAGCCCTTTGGTTCCACCCGTGACGAGTGCAGTCATTCCCTGAAGACTCCATCTCTTGCACCCACCGCAATTATTTGCCTGAGTCATTCTCTTTAGCTTGCATTGCTATATTTCCGAATGAGGATTACTTATATACTATCTATAATCAATTCAGCAGTCAGCCAGAGCCACTGATTAGTGGCAGAATATGAAAATCCCAGTGAAAAAATTAAGCGTGGAAAATTACTGCAATTGAAGATAAATGAGAAAGCTAAAATGTGTGGCTATCTTTCAATAAAAGAAGATATGTCTGTTGTCACTCATCATGAAAACGATATCTCATATATACCACTTATGTGGCTGATAGAAATTCATAGCTTTTTAATACTCCCAAAACTAGGGCTGAAAAAAAAAAAAAAAAAAAGGGGAAACCAAACCAAACCGAGAAACTTCGGTTTCGGTTTCAAAAAATGGCTAAACCGGTTTATATCATTTTTTAAACCGGTTTTCCTATAATCCTATTAATATGATAATATTATTTTAATTTTTAAAAATCCTTATTATCTAAAATCCTAAATACCTAAATCTACTATTAGTTTGAAATCCTAACTTCACACTCGTGAGTCGACAATACTTCTCCTCTCCTCCTCTCAAACTCGCCGGCCGCCGCTGCCCTCTCCACTTTCCATTGTCTCCAAGACTCCAGTCACTTCCCTGTTGATTTCGCTCCCAAGTCCTTCTTCTTCTTCTTCTTCTTTTTCTTCTTCATTACTCGTCTCTCCTGCTCCCGTCCTCTCCTCTCAAACTCGTCGGCCGCCGCTGCCCTTTCCACTCTCCAAGACTCCAGTCACCGCCGCTTCCCTCTCGAGTCTCCAAAAACTGAAGATTTTGGTGGTCAGGTCAGTAGGAATAGGATTCTATATAGTCTCAATTATGTTTCTCAGGTTTTCTTACTTTTGACTTTCATTCTTAAATAGGGAAGGAGAAAGAGAAATGATGCTTCACCAAATGATGAATTGACAGACCTTGAGCACGGTGATGCAGTACTGGTAAAGAGTTTTTTGGCTATTTGTTACTTACGTGTCTACATCAATACTTGATGTAGGAGATAGGTAGCTCGGGCAATCCTTTAACAAATGTAATGATTAGTTGATTGCAGATAAGATAAATGTAAACTTGGATTGTAAATTGCGTTTGACAATTTATCATCATGTTCCTATGGGTTCTGCATGTTTGAAAAACTCTTGCAATCTTATTGATGGATATATCTATTGGTTAATGTCAGATAAAATGGAAGTAAATTTGAATGTTAGTATCTGCTATCTGGTCTTTGGTTATTTGTGTTCTGTCATGAATTTTTCCTTTAATGAGGCTCTTTATCATTCTGTTTTAGGTTATATATCTATCTAGTTGTTAGCTTTTTATGTGGCATAGGTGTAGGACATTTGAATAGCCAATTTTTTTGGGGGTAAACAACTTGATGAACGCCTAGAACTTCTAAGTATGGTATTCAAATAGATGGTGTTAGGAGTAGTTGGTATAAATATCAGCCCGATGTTGCTGATAAATTGTCTACGTTGCTCAAGAATTTGTGAAAACCATTTACAAGAAACAACTTGTTTCCTTTTTCTCTGGGAAATGATATATTTTTTTATCTTACTTGTAAGTGGCTGATTCCTGGTGTTTATTGTTGGAAGTAGAATTTAGTCATTGAGAATGTTGAAATTAGATAATCAAAAGCACACCACTAAAATGCTGTTACATCATAAATTTCCGCAGCTTAGCCCTTCTTGCTGATACTGTAATGCTTATAATGGTATAACCTACAACTAACCGCAAACTATAGCATTTTCCTTGAAAATACTGTGCAAAACAGATCACATTTATTTACTATGATTAATTGGGCCACTGCATTTTCTATTTATTGTCTTTATTGCTTTCTAAAAATGTAGCTTCTTCGCATCAAACTGCAACAAGAACGTTGGGAAAATGTATTAAGTGTTAGCCAAAAAACTCGATTCTGTCTCATAAGCTACACTAAAATAGCTAAGAAAGCCATTTTTCGCTTGAAGTTTCGTCTCATTTGCCTTTGTGTATTCATTTGTGTGTGTGAGAGAGCAAAAGTTAGGAGTGTCTGACTTGTGATTCTTAAAAAAATAATGTGCTACCGTCTGGAGCAGGTGCTTGGAACAGATGCTGGAGGCACAAAAGAAGGAATATAAACTAATTTCATATCTCCTCCCCATGCTTCACGATTATTTTTTCATTATAATGTTGCTAGGATATCATTTAATAATTGTTGCAATCAATCCTTTTGCATATTCTATTATGATATTTGGCCTTAATACATAATGCCAATCCATTTAAATTATTAGTTTTTGAAAGGTAATAGAGAGAGTAAATGTAAGTTTTGCATTTCTCTTGCAGGTGATTCCGTGATTGCACTTGGCCAATTAAAGAATGCTTAAGCCTTAAAGTGGAGGGGAGATGCCAGTTTACAACTTTCACTTGTTATTTCTTAATCACTTTTGTACTTGGCCATTAAAATTGAAAGGAACAGTTTATATTTTATGATAATGTAATTGGTTATTATTAGTTATTATGCTTGAATGAGAAGAATTCAGCAGCATTAATTGGTGATTAATTGGTCAAATTGTTGTGGATGTTTTGGTTTCTTGAAATTTTGTCATCCAAAAAAAGGAATTTTTTTTATCATTACATATCAAAAAAAGGCAAAAAAAAATTTATTAATAAAACTGGTTTGCAAACAGGTTAACCGGATTGCAATCTAAAAATCCGGATCGGTATGCAAACCGGTTTATGCCAAAATCCGGACCGGTTTCGATTTGCAATATGGCTTGAACCAAAAAATAGGTTCGGTTACAAAAAGCACATATCTGATTTGGTTAACCGGTTTTTTGCAGTCCTACCCAAAACTTGGTGCCAGAATTAAGAACTAGAGAAATTTAAATACATTATTCTTTGTTCACAGATTAACCACCAGGTGGCCAATTACCTCATACATATAGTAGTTCAATTATTGATTTGCCCGACAATTCAAGGCTATATTTAATATAACAACGTACAATAGAGATGTCAACACATCCAAGCAATTTCTTGGGAATTTGCCTTTTTATCTGTTTCTTATTCGTTATGTCGGGGGGAAGGAGAAGCCATTGACCGTCATTCCTCCATCAACACAAATAGTTTGGCCAGTTATGTATGAGGCCGCAGGTAGGCAGAGGAATGCAACTAAAGAAGACACCTCTTTTGGCTCCCCGGTGCGTCCCATTGGAGCTCTAGAATTTACTTCCTTCAAATATTCCTCATTACTCAGATACTGTCAGCAAACAAAGAGAATCAATATCAAAATAAATTATTCTATAACTAGTTTCTTGTCAGATAGAACAATATTGATGATGATGCCATCTCTAAATTGTTTGAGGAATTCTTACAGGTTCAGTTAGGGGAGTTCTAATAAACCAAGGCGCCACAGAATTAGTCCTTATGTTGTCTCTTGCCCATTCACACGCTAAATTTTTCGCAAGTTGATTCATGGCTCCTGTAAGTAATTTAACAATATGATACTGTGTCAATAAATCCACTTATTCTTGTATTACAGTATATTGAATGTTTTTGAGTAGTAAACTACATGCCTTTTGTAACTGCATAGATGGATCCAAAGTTTACTGATACCACACCAGCAACCGAAGACATTAAGATAATACTTCCTGAACCTGAAGCTTTCAGAAGAGGATGTGCTAGTTGGGATAAGTGATAAACAGACTCCAAATTGGTAGCCATGATGAATGAGAAATCTTCAGCATTGTACTCTTGAGTCGGCTTGTATATACTTGTCCCAACATTGTTTATCTACAGTCGCAGAATTAATATTATCAAACTGAATAAATCAAGTGAAAAGCACACAGCATACATTCTACATATTTTAGAAAGCAGAATGGATGGTGGCATACATACAAGGATGTCAAGTTTGCCATTAAACAGAGAAGAGACTTCTTTCATTAGAGTCTCTCGTTCTGAACGAGATGACACATCACAAACTGAACCACTGACTTTAAAACCTTTAGTTTCCCAACCACGTATGCATTCCTTAAGCTCATCTTCATTTCTAGCACATGTATACACAGTGGCACCTAGCTCTGCAAATTCCTCCACAATAGCTTGTCTGACAGCAATACAAAATGAAAAACAAATGAATCTCTAATCTGAGCTCTCTTAAGATTTTAAAGATTTTACAATACATGTATTTTAGTGAGTAGTATGAAGGTTAGTTAAAGAAACACAGTGATCATTGGCTCATAGAGAAGGTTCTCTTGATATATAATTTATTTCTACACATCAGTACTTAATTTCAATCTCAGAGTGTTAATCCTATCTACAAATTACAAATACAAAGAGTAAGTGAAGAGAAGAAAATTGAAAGAGAGAAAGAGTAAGAACCCGAGTCCTTTAGTTCCACCAGTGACAAGTGCAGTCATGCCCTGAAGAGTCCATCTATTGCGCATGCCCAAGCTCCCTCCCTCGGCCATATTTTTCTCTAAGTGTGAGCTCTTCTTAGGAATCGTTTGGAAAGCGAAGTTATCTATATTTATGCAACGAAAATATAAACTCTAACGCTAACTATTGAATATAATAATAACAAATAGTAAAGCATAAATAAATAGTCAAAATTAAACGCAAAATAAAAAATACCAGGAATTAACGAGGTTCGGTATTGAACAAAACTTGCAAACTAAAGAGTCCTTAAAGAAAGAACACTAAACAAAAGAAGTATAATAGAATTACAACTTCGGATGCCTAATAACAATGATTTGGGTCCTTATATATAAGCTTCAAAAGTTTCTCACTTTTCAATCCTAATCAATGTGGGACAAATTAACTTTTTTTTGACCTATTATATATAAGTCTCCAAACCTTTCTCTATTATTATTCTACCCCCAATTTTGCTAAAAGCCATTTTTCAACCATGTTTATATCATTGGTTCGTTTGGAAAGTGATGTGCTGCCGGCCTCAGCCATACTTTTCTCTAAGTGTGAGCTCTTCTTGGGAATCGATGTTATCTATATTGATGATTATGTCGTTGGTTAGTTAATTATTGGTTCGTTGGGAAAGTGACGTTATCTATATTGATGATTATATCATCGGTGAAACCGTGAAAACGAGACCGCAATTCCTTTAGTCTACCAACTCTACGATATTGAACAAATATAATTTTTAATATTCTCTTTAATGTTCGGTATTTAGGTCTAAGATCGACAAAAATATGACTTTGATATAATAATAAAGTGAGTTTGGATAAAAGTCATCGTAAAAAATTAGCTTAATGAAGGAAAGAGTCTAACTATATATATACATCATAATAATCCATTAATTTGATGATTTAAGACAAATATAACTCTTTATAAGCTAATCTGTTTGTTTACTATTTTTTGAGTTTATAAGCTGGACTTATAAGTCAAAAGAAATAAATTAGGGGAAAGATACTCTTTTTTTTTTTTTGCTTATAAGTAGAGTGTTTATAAACTAATTTGACTAAGTATATTACCATATTATCCCTTTATAATTTTAAAATTTTATCCTATATCCTTACTTTTAAATAATGTAATACCATTTTTAGTCATTTTAATAATAAATACAGCTTATAAACCATATTTTATTATACGCGTCAACTACTTATAAATATTTTAATCAAACACGTAACTGCTTCAATTTCAAATGCTTATAAACCATTATAAGCATTAACTTTATAAGTTAATTTTCATAAATTCAGACAAATATTAACAAGATTCATTCGCCCCACATATATTTAAGTTGTCATCAAAACCTAAGCTCACTTGACTCCAACAGCTGGGCTGCAAGCTGGGTTCACAACTACAGGCCACAGATAGACACCCTATTTTAACTTTGTTTCAAATATATTAATGGTTAGTTTTCGATTGTGATTTTGTGTTAAAAATCTTAATTTGAAATAAAAAATTTTATCTAAAAAAGAGTTGGAAAAAATAAAAATGAAAGAAAATGTATAACTTTTTATTAAACCAGTGGAGTCTATAGTATTTTCTTATCCCATCATTTTCACTTCCATTTTGGATTAAAATTCTTAAGAAAGGTAAGAACAGTTAATTTTTTTAACATGCCTGGGAGATTGTAGGGGATGATATTTTTGGAGCTGTCACGGATTTCTTTGTCCAAGGCCGAATGTTAAAAGATGTTAACGCCACTATTATTATTCTGGTGCCTAAAATGGAAGTGCCCATGACAGTAGGTGATTTTAGACCCATCTCTTGCTGTAATGTCCTTTATGAATGCATTTCAAAAATTCTGGCTAACAGGATTATGGATGCTTGGGAGATATCGTGGATGATACTCAATCAGCTTTTGTGCCCGGGAGAAAGATCAATGACAATGTGCAGGTGGTATAACAAGAGCTTTATGTAAGAGTGCCTCTGTTTGTGTTAACTGGTGGGATGAGATGGGATCTGGTGGTTTCCTCGTAGTAGTTTCTGCTATCTTTGTTGGAGGGTGGGAAATCATGCTGTTTGGTTTTTGGCAGTCGCTAGAGGGGGAGCTTGGTCTTGATAAGCAGTTTAGTTTGGTTTTGTGTATATGTATCCAGACCTTTACTGTTTTCTCTTATGGTGTGGGAGATTTGCACATTTATGTAGGTAGCTTTGGGTTTCTCTCCACTCTTGGTTGTCTGGGCAACAAGTTGGAAAAGCTGCTGGTCTGTGTTTCCTCTCCTGTGTGTATCATTGGATTGCATGTTCCAAGTGCAGATTTTGAAGAATCTTGTTTAACAGGAAGTGTTTGTTCTTTACTGTGAGTTTGGACTGTCTACAATTCTGTTTGGAATCACAAGTCGTGTGTTTCTTGGGCAGCAGGTTGGTTTTTAATTGGGATCTATCAATTTTCATCTTTTCACAATCTTTAACGGCTAGATTTCCCATTCAGTTTTGTTACTTCTTATAAGCAATATGCATGCGTCACCAGAGTACTGATTTTCTCTAATTATAAAATGCATCGGCTACCTTTGCCCACAAACTTAATGACTGCCAGGCTAGCGATCTTACAGTACGTAGGAAATTGCTTAGTTACAATTTCTATTGAAAAGGTTCATAATCCCTGAAATCATTTGTTTCCATAGAGTTCACCGTGGGACGAATCAACAACTTCATGCTCTGAACAACCCTAAGTGCAGTGGATTTATAGTTATATAGAAAGAAGGTGGCCATCCAGGAAGCAATTTAAGATATAAAAGAGTAATGAATTTGGTTTGAGGAGAAGACTCGAAAGTCTATTTGTCCTTTTATAATTATTTTTCCTTCGTGTGAATGAGAAGACTAAAGTTGGGAATCAGTCATCATCTTTCTTTCATTGTCATTTTTTTAAGTGGCAGGGATTGAAGATTAAGCAAACGAGAAGGCTAAAATTGGGAATCACTCATTAGATTCAGATCTTGTTAATGATAAAAGCAAAGGACTTCTGAAAACGATTGCTAATAGGTTCATGAATCAGACGTTAACCGGCTCATAACTTGATGACCAATCCCTCTCATCTTTATTCTCCATTGAAACAACACCAGCTACCCTTCTGTGAAACCCCTTTTTTTTAATCCT